GTTTTTTATGTTATGTTTTGTAAATTTAATCATTGTTAACTCAGTCAGTTTTATATCCCCATTGGTGTCCTTTTGGTAATTAATGGCTTGCTCTTCAGTCAGTGCGTTCAAGTCATAAAAGTTACTGAAATGCATCTCATGAACAATGAAAGGGTTTCCTCGTTTTTTAGCATCTCGTATCAAATTAACGTACTGATCTGGTACGTAGATGAGTCCAGACGTTTTTGCCCTTTTTATTGATTTTTCAATCAGTGAATGGGCATTATCACCTTCATTTTGACTATGGCCGCTGATTAAAAACTTATGACACACAGAATTTACGTTCCTTCAAACAATTGAATGCACAACGTTGCTCATCATTAAACTTGAAATCAACATCCTTCTTAAGTAAATCTGTAAGTGGTCGTGCTTTAGATGCAACATTCTGAATATACTTCCTGAAGTACGATGCCAATCCGATAAAACTTTGTAATTGCTTAGTTGTTTTGGGTTCCGGAAACTTCGTTACGGCATCGATCTTTTCGCTGGCAGGCCTTACTTGTCCATGTATGACCTAAATAAGTTATGCTTCGACATATCAGCTGTGCTTTCTTCCAGTTTATTTGTAAGCCATATTCAGATGCCACTCTTAAAACTTCTCTTAATCTATCCACAGCTTCCTGTTCGTCTTTGGCTGGAATAAGAATATCATCGACAAATATTAGAACAATCCCTTTAGATATTAAATCTCTGAAGATAATGGTCACAAATCGCATAAAGTAGTTTGGGCAAACAGACAAGCCAAATGGGGCTTTCAAAAACTCAAACTGACCGTGGTGTGTAACAAATGCAGTGTACTTCACAGACTCACTGCTGACACTCAGGTGGAAAAATCCGTTCTTTAAGTCCAGTACACTAAATACTTTTGCCTCAACCAACTTGTCAATGTAATCCTCGATAATCGGCAATGGAAACTCATCCTTTATGATTTTACTATTTAATTTTCTATAGTCAACACAAACCCTTATAGCACCGTCTTTATATCGAACTAGAACAAATAGACTGGCATATTCAGAGTAACTTACGCGTACAATTCCTTGCTCCAGCCACTCCGCAACTTGTTCTTCAACTACCACCTGTTCCTTTAGTGATATGCGTCGTGGACGTTGTACCACCGGGACGTCATCTTTCACAATTATTTTCAGCTGGATAGGAGCTTCTTTGATTTGGCATGGTTGATAGCTCTCAACCATCTGAACAACCTCTTCTTTAAGATCAGTATTACTCACATGACCAACCTCAACACTGCAACTGAAACAATTGATTTCGTTCACCCATTCCACAGGTTTCATCCACACAGCACTACCATTCATAACCATTACAACATTCTTAAGAAATTCGTGACCTATGATTACATTAAAAGGCATACAGTCTTTAGGTACCACGTAGAATAACACATCGTCGTATTTCGTACCGTCGATCACAACATTTGTTGTTAAACAACCTAATGGCTCCACTTTAGCGGAACCCAGTCCAGATAGTGTTATGTTATTGTTCATCACTTTACTGATATTAGCACAAAACTCAGAAGATACCAAGTTCACGTCACTGCCCGAATCAATAAGCGCACTTGTCGTTTTTCCACATAATTCTACGATCTTCAAAGGTTTTTCCCGTTGTGATTGTTTGTTTACGTCGTAGATGTCATACTCGGTTTGACTTTGACATTTGCTACTCCTGTCATCTGTCATCTTGTCAATGTCATTATGTAAGTGTGACGTATCATCCGCGTTGAACGATGATTGACCGAACATTGCTTGTTTGCTCACTCGTTCACCGCTCCCGCTCCCACTTGTCGATGCTTCGTTGTTGTGTCCTTTTCTATCCCCGGAAGTGCCGGAACTACGCCACCATTTTGATGAACTCGAATCTTCCTTGCGGCCGCCTACCTCCTTGTTATTTTTATGCGGACATTTCGATGAAATATGGCCATATTCGTTGCAGTTAAAGCACTTTGGACCTTGTGCCTTCTGCGGACAATCTTCCGACACATGATCGCCTTCACCACAGTTATAACATCTTTTCGACGTTTTCTCATGCCGTACGTTGCCGCGTTTTTCGTTTCTGTAGGTACTTCTAGAATGTTCCAGTTTCATCTTTTCCTTAATCGTCTCGTAGATTTTAAACTTCTCTTTAAGTTCAGGATACGACGTAACACCGTAAAGCACGATTTTATTGGTTTCATGGTCCACTATGCCATCAACGATGTATTTAATGGCCACGTAATCGGGAATCTTTCCTCTTTTCCCTAACGCCTTCATGACCATCATATAGTCGATACAACTCTCGTCACGTCTTTTCTTCCGCTGGCTCATAAGCTCGTGGATTGCTTTCACGTCGACTGTGTCAGGGAATTCTTTACTCAGGGCCGCTTTAAGTTCTTCCCATGATTTGTGAGGGCGTTCAGCTTCCATCCATAGCTGTGCGGTGCCTGATAGGGACCTCCGTGCCATCAGCAGCTGTTGTAACGGTGTCCAACCACATATTTCTCCATTTTCTTCCACGTCTTGAATCCATCGCGTAACTGGATAAGTTTTATCTTGACCGGTGAATTTAGGTA